AGAACTGGCAGCAGGGTTGCCATTATTCTACTGTAAAATTAACATTATTTAACTGTCACTGAGATTAACGGTGTTGTACTATTAATGAAAAATACAGTATGAACTGGTATTTTGATTACTTTCACAGTATTTTATAGCTAATTTATGTGTTTAAAAACATTATATAGCTGGTTGTCACTCTTCCCACATTGTCCAAAGCTGACATGCACAGAACGCAAACCATATGAAAATGTTATTTGTTAAGTGAAGAACAGAGATAAATCTTTAATTTTGGAATTATGTAATTGCAGTGTGAGAGGAAAAAATCCAAAGATTCTTATTGCCCTTTACTTTTTATTTAAATGTAAAGTTGGAAACTGCAAATTAAGAACAATTGCATTTTTTTTACTAACTATACTCATGACATATGAAGAAACCCATTCTCTCAATCCAGCTTTGGAAGCCCATTGACTGCATGAGAGAGAGAGAGAGAGAGAGAGAGAGAGAGAGAGAGAGAGAGAGAGAGAGAGAGAGAGAGAGAGAATTACTTTCATTGCATCTTCTCACATGCAATTTCCTGTTATTATAATGTGGAGCATGAACATAAAGATCCAAAGAAAAAATACCCCCAGCCCTGAACTAACCTATGGGCCAGCCTGTAACATACAACAGTTGTATGGGTAGTTTCAGAAGCCGAACACAAATAACACGGAGAGAATGATAGAAAGAATACAAGGTGTAAGAATAAGAGACATAATGAGTAAAACAAATGATTGAGAGAAAGAATATAGTGAGATAATGGAAGAGGGATTCAGACTTTCTTCTCTGTAAGGGAGAAATAGGAAGGGAGGGGGAGATTGAGATAAAGAAAGAATTAGAGGATTGGGATAAGCCCAAGTTTTGAAAAATATATGCAATGAGTAATGGGATGAAGTAAGCTCACCATCTTCAATTAAGTCCCACTCAAAGTCCGTGAGTCTCCTCAGCAGAGTGGATGCATGTGGACTGACTGTTGTTGTCTTTTTGTTGGTGATTTTGCCAGTTTTCTTTGATAAGACCCCTATAGTGCCTGGTCCAACCTCAGTGCCTCTCTCAGGGTTTATTCCAACCAAGCGCCTGACAAACAACAACATGGCACATCAGATCCACTGACACACTGACTCCGGGCTTAATCACTCATTCCTTAAGATTTCTGTAGGCTACATTATGTGCTGTCAGACCTGCACATTTCCGAAAGGTCCTTTTATATTTAGGCATATAACACCGCAGTACTAAATTAGGTATATTGTTGTGAATTTTCATGTCTCACAAAGGCAACTGAGGAGCTAGACCGATGTTCACAGATCTGACAAGAAAACATCATAGGAAGCCAAACAAACTTGACTGTTCTGTTAAAGAAGTAGTAAACTGCAGTTGTAAGACTGTGAAGCAAGAAAGAAAACTGCCCCACAGTTTCTGCTCTATAGCCTTGACTACACTATCAACATGTCATCAAGCAAACTCATGGCAATGTAACAAATAGGGCCTACAAGTCTGAGAAAAAAAACCACACTTACAGAAGCAGTAAGTTACAGAGAAAGAAATTTTTTTCAGCACTTCATTGCTGATTCAATGATTACGTTGTAAATTACTTGCCTTGTGTTGTGTGTGCATTTCTAGCTAGCTGCTTCTTTTATGACATGCTGACATTCATCAAGCAAAACAAACTAGAAACATCACTGATAGACTTTGCACCAATTAATAAATAAATAAAATTGCGACTCACCCAAAACATAGTAATTTGTTGATGGATGAAGAAAAGAATGGATCTAGCTTCACATGTGTAGATCAGGTGAAATTGTTTTTCCCAAAATGCAAAAAATACTGCATGATAGCTACCGTCTAAGATACTTGTTGGTTGATTAGCAGTAAAGTGCTGTATTTTAGGCATACATTATAGTACTGTTTAAGAAAACATTAATGGAGCGTAATTTAACAGATTTTCTTATTAACAGTAAAGGGCTGTATTTATGAAAAACAGGTTAATACTGTTCAAATCTTGCCGTAAATTTACAGCAACTATTTACAGACCTATATTGAGCATTTACAGTACTGAGTTTCCTGTAGCTTTCAATACCATTCTAAAGATTTAGATATGACAAATCTGTGATACAGCTTTTATCGGTGGTTGATTTCAACTTTGTTTTATAACAGGGCACCAATCAGTCTGAATTCAATGTTCTGGATATATTTGGCGTCTTGGACAGTTTACGACTGGGTAACCACAGTGACTCAAGATTCATCAGACTGTGGTTCTCGCTTAAGATGGCTCCTCTTTTGCCCTATGTCAACGAAAACTTCCTGATCCAGCTGAGCAGTCAAAACTTCAGCTGCAGTTCGTTCCAAGAATTGTAAGTTTATTCAATTCCATTTTTACTTATACATGTAGATAAATGCAGTCTAACTAAATGGTCATTAAATAGTTAGTAAATGAACTGAGATATTGTTAATGTGGCTGAAATAATAAATATTATAGTAAGTTGTGGAATAATGACATGCACTATATGTGCATACCCTATTATGTGAATCCTGGTCCTGCTGCAGCTAAATTAAATTAACTCAATGAGTGAGACTAACAGGTGCGTAGTAATAATGTGACCAGAGTCACTTTGATGGCACTGTGCTTGCTGTGACTGATATTCTCATATGGTCACAGTGACACCTAGAGTTCAGAATAGGACCGACATTTTAATTTAGTCAGGCCAAATATAATTTTGATTTTTAATAACAATCAATTAAACAAATGACATTCCCATCACTAACAACTATATTTTGTTGTTAGTGCCACTATAATTTGACAGAAAAACTGAGCTAGCCAGCTAGCCTGGCTCTGTCCAACGGTAACAAAATCCACCTACAAGTTCCTCTAAAGTTCACTAGATGTTATCTCGTTTGTTTAATTATCAAAAAACTAAGTGTAAAAATGTCAGTTCACTTTTTTACGGGAAATTATGTGTCAGAATATTTCTTGGCTGGAACCAGTTGCCAAGCAATCAGCACAGACTCCAAGAATTTTCTTTTAAAATGGTGCAACACAGAAGTATGCTGCGATTTTCGTTGAATTAGCTATTGCAATCTGCATGTTTTTAGCTCCTGATTAATATGACAGCAGTTAATTATGCAGTCCACTCCTGGAATTTCACTGCAGTGGTGAAATTTTTATGAGATCACCAAGCTTAGAAAATGAATGATAATGTAGTGATCCTTATTATAAACCACTTACTTCCACAGTTAAACTCCACCTGAAAAACAGTTCATATTGCTTAAATTACTTGACATTATATAACTAATTATTAATGTAATAGTATATATTAAACACGGAGGAATAAAAATGAGATGTAGAAAATAGCCACCAGTTAAGAAAGAGAGAACAGCAGGTAAAAGTGGAGTAGGTGGAGGTGGAGATGGTTTTGGTGTTGCTGGCTGATCTTAGTACTGATGTAAATGTCACCAACTGTAAATGTTTTATCAAAATAATGAAAAGCATTTGCAGACTGTTGTTATTTTAAAAGGGATGGTCAAGATCAAATTCATATTTGACACAAATCCCGCTAAGATTGCTGTTACAGTAATGACACCCTATAATGTGTTCATTATAATCATTGTTCCATTTTTTTCTTTCAATTAATAGTTTTTTAGTTATATATAGACCTAGGGCTATATTTATTATATATATTTGTTTTTACCTGAACAACCTTACACATTATGAATCCAATCTGTGCTATTTCTACACCTTTCTTCATTGGTGGAGAATTTTCCACACTGATTGAAACTGATTGCATGACTATAGTAATCTCAGAGCAATGCATAGTAAATGTCAGTGAAACATGTCTCCTCCTACTACTTAATGACTCTCCCTTGAATGTATATGAGGAGATGCCCTTGAGGAGAGAGGGGCATCTTGTAAGCACTTGCGATAATGACATGGAAATTATGACTCCTGTTTGATAAATGTGTTTGGGACAGAATGTGTAATAAGCCATAGTTGCTTTAACATCATGTTATTTAGTAATTGCTGTTACACAATAATATGTTTAAGGCACTTGTTAAAACCATCAGACAAAGCTAGGCAATTTATTTAAAGAGCGCATTATATACACATGTGCAATTCAGTGTGCTTTACATAAAAATAAAGGTTACATGTTAAAATACTATGATGGGAAGAATTAAAATGAATAAAAATTAAGTGAGCAATAGGAGTAATTAAATAAAATAAAAGACAAGAAAAAAAATTAGCAGCTAAACAAATAAACTAAATAAAAACAATAAAAGATAGGATAGTTAAGGCTGCACAGATATCTAAACAAGTCAGTAAACAAGTCCTACAAAACAATAAGGTTTTGAGGGAGGATTTAAAAATCGCCACAGTTGAGGCTTATCTAAGAGATTCTTGAAGTTTGTTCCAGGTGTGGGAAGCCTAATAACTGAAATATCTTTTACCATGTATTCCCTTTCTGGATGACCTAATAATTCTTGATGGTTCAAAGGGAATAAGAGCTAGAAGATATTTTGGTTCCAAGCCATTTAGAGTTTTATAGACCAATAAAATAATTTCAGAATGAAATCTCAGGCTAATTGGAAGCCAGTGCAGAGATCTAAGAACTGGTGTGATGTGTTCAGTGTTTGTGTGTTTTAGTTTTAGCAAGCACCCTTGTAGCTGCATTTTGAACATGCTGTACTTTTATTAGACTTTTGTGGGTTAGGCCAATATGAAAGCCATTGCAGTAATCTAGCCTACAAGAGATTATGTTAGCTGGTTCTCTGATGACACTAAAAATGGTCAATACACATAAATTATTGCTTTTGTCGGATGATAAATAAAATGATTGTGGTTGTGTGAAAGTGTGTTTTCAATAATTGAGGCTATGAGCAATGAACTGGAGAATTCTGAAAGAATTTTTATTCATTAATATAATTGATTACACTTTAAAAGCCTTCTCTTAAATTTTAGCATCCAGGCACTCAGCAGCCGAAGAGTATCCATGGACAGGGAAATGCAACAAGCAGTCTTCACTAATTTCATCAAACCGTTCCTTTCAAGAAATGACTCGTCAGGTAAAGGCAAGCGCTCAGGTTCAGTTTGGTAAAGTCTTGATAGCATGTGGTGCTAACACCCTGCCAATGTCTTTGCAGATCCTGGCTGTGTCTCATTTACCAGAGGGAGTAAAGATTGGCTCCTGGCAAACCTTGGCAGCTTCTCTGGCTTTGCAACCCTACAGGATTTGCAAGCCCTCAATCCCAACTTCTCCAGCGTAAGTAGCACCTGCAGTTGTAGTATTCTTCTCCCAAACTGAAATGGCTGACCTATGGATCTGCAATTACTGCTGTCTGATTTGCTATTGATCCCCCTCTGTAGGCCGAAGCGTTGTCAGTGCTCACTCCTACTCAGGTGGCGCAGTTGACACTGAGTTCAGGGGCCTCGACCGACACAGACCAAATCGACCGTGTGTTTGAGCGACTTGAGGAGGGCAAAGCTCTGGAAAATGTGGATGAATTCCTGACACAGCTGACAGCAAACGGAAAGGTAGGCTGCTCGTGACACTCAGGGAAGAAGCACAATCCTGGGCTATAAACCGAGCATAGTCTGTCCTCAGATATGTATGTAAACCTTGAAATCGGTTGTGGTGGACGCGGTGGTATCAAATATTTTGTTGCATGCTTTCCAGCGTCCTGTATGGTGTACTTGCTACACGGAAACAGTGTGGTGTTGAAATCCTCTAATGTCATAATTTGACAGGTCCCTGACTTCCAACCTGTCGTGAGAGATCGTATAATGAATAGGACCTTCGCCATCATCAGTCCCCATTTCCAGAACTTCAAGGAAGATGACTGGTTTGCTTGGTTCCATCTGAAACTGGTCCTTGTCCTCCCAAGTTTCACTCCAATGATGCTCGAGAACGCAACCTCAAACATAAACTGCACAAACTACCATGTTGTGTGAGTAGCATTTCACCAACAAGCAAGATTCCATTGCACCAAAGTACAAAACGGTAATGAGGGACAGCGTAAGAATGTTTCTTTTCACCCTGTGCAGAGTGAGTGGGCTGGCCGGAGCTTTCCGCGCTATGCCGTTACATAGACGACAAGGAATCGCAGACGTTCTGCTGGGCTACTTGAGAAAATCTGCCGGTGTCATCAACAAACCGGGTAGGTCTGACAAAGGAAACTGCGTCGTGTGGTTGCTTGTGTAGGCTTGCCCATGGACTTATTTGTGAAAAAAAAAAAAAGTTCTGAAATGGCAGTGAGAGGACAACTGGCACTTACGTATGCTAACATCCATTTACGTGCTTTAGTTTGCAGGCAGGAAATTGACAATGATGCAGAATGGCTTGAAGCAAACTTGGGTCCATTTTCCCTGTACACAACATACTCTGACCTCAACGTCTTCAACCTCTCTGTGGTAAGGCATGCATTCCACTGTCAATCTACCTTGAAAACAGCAGCACAATCTTTGCAACTTGGACAGTCTGTACACCGGGGTGATTTTTCCATGTCAAAGAGAAAAGCAATCCATATATTCTCTTTGTTTGTGTCATCAGGTGGCACTTGTGGACTCCCTGTCCCCAGACCAGAAGGCTGAGCTGATCCTGGATCCAGACAGCCACGCTTTGGAGGATGAGGCCATCATAAGGGAGGTGTTCACAAGCTTGACAAAGTCCCATGATAACGAGCAGCTCAATCAGTTTTTCCAGGCTTTTGCAAGCATCAGCGAGCAGGTGAGTGCTTAACATTTAAGCCTGCCATATTTTCCCAGAAAGCTGGCCGACAAACCGGCCGTGTAGAACTCACCGTGGGCTCAAAGAATTTTTGCAGAAGCTAAAAAGGGGCCCCGGTTTTTGACTCAAAGCGATACATTTCTGATATGCTTTGTGAATGAAGCGCTGCCAACGATGCCTCGAGTCATGCCTCTGATGCACTAAAGTACAAAGATGTGTCACCAAGCTTGCCCTCATTTCTACAAGGATTTCAGGAAGGTAAAATGTCCGCATGAACTAATACGGGAATCCTTTTATTTGCAGAGAAACATCACCATCATCAAAAATCAAGGTGTACGAGACACCATCTTGAACCTGACCTTGACAGCCCTTGCCGGTGAATTTGAAGACTTTGAGCCTAAAGACTTTGAGCTGTGGTTCCAGGTCTATTTGGCTCCCGTGATGGCGAGCCTCCAGCCTGGCAGCTTGGTGGTGATCCCCAGTAACATCAGCTGCGCATCCTACGAAGCTATGTAAGAGATATTTCAGAGGTCCACACTTAGACATTTTGGGTTTTCATGATGTCAAACTGTGGCTTCAGGCAAGTAACGATTACTTCTGTTTTCTGCCTTCAGACTCACTGGTCTTCTGCAAAGTTTGAAATCCCTGCCTCCGACCCTTTCACATGGCGTGAGCGCAAGCATACAGTCACTCAAGGAGACATTCGCACGTACGTGGCAAAATGCTCTGCTGACAAACTTTTTCACAAAAGCCGATTACCGCTGCCTTGATGATAGCTGTATTGATGCCATGCTTTCGTTTCAATTTTCCCTCAAACAGGTTGCACAGTTCCAGATTCCTTCGTGGTAAGTTCACTTCTATGGGTGTACTCCGTGGATTATACAATATTTGATCAAAATTGACAAGACACAAGTCTGGCACATTCATTTTGGTAGGGAGGCCACGCTAAGGTACTTTAAGTAGCTCATGCCACTAGACTAACATTTGCGCTTTACTTGTCTCCAGTGCAAAGAGACCCCGATTGATGGTAAGTCTGTAAAATACCAGAAGTTTCAACTTTGATGACACAATGACATTCTGAAGGTACAATGTCTGATACACCAATATTGTCTTTTCGCAGAGGCCCTCATCTGTGCTGCGGTCAACAGGTAGGTGAATTACTGTTTGGTCCGGGGCTGAGTTTGCGTGGCTAAAGTTGTTTTACACAGTCTAACTAAAGTTACAATGGTTTTCTTTTTGTTGTTTTCCTCAGTTCACAACTGGAACAAACCCTGTCTACTGGCAATTCCTCTGAAGCCCTGTGCAATTTTACCATCACTGAGCTTGCCTGTTCCTCGGTAAGATGGTTTGATGTAAGCTGTAAATCCCAGAGAAAGATTTAGCTTGAGCTACACTGTTGTCCAGAGACAAATCTCCCTGAGCTCTGAGAGAGTCTTTGCTTTATTTTTTTTCTGTCAACATTTTCTCCTAAGGCTACACACCTCACATCCAGCAACCTGGTCACACTGATGAAATGCTCACTGCAAAGCCAAAGGACATACCCGGTAGAGGTCTGGAAGCTTCTCTTCCAAAAAGCTTCTACTGCACTAGACCAGGCTCTCCAGACCTTCGCCACCATGGTAACTCCAATGCCACAATTTCACAAAACTGGTGTTTCCTTGCGTGAATTCTGTGTCCAACCAAAAGTCATTTTCCAACTGCAGGCCCCCAACAACAGCAATCCAGCCATGTCACCTGCTCTTGAGGCTCTTGGGGAGCTGAGAATTGCAAACTTCAGCCAGGCACAACTGCAGAGTGATGCCTTTGTCAGATTCTGGTTCCAGACAGAGCTTGGTCCGTTTCTGGCCTCTGCATCCCCCAACTTCCTATTCTGCCTTAGCTCCAAGAACTTCAGCTGCCATACGTACCAGACAGTGTAAGTAAATATTGATAGTTTGCTCCAAAGTGAACAAGATTGCAGAGGGAGCGGCAGTTTTCTAGTTGCTTAGACGTTTAAAAGCTTTCTCTCAAATTTTAGCATCCAGGCATTCAGCAGCCGAAGCGTATCCATGGACAGAGAAACACAACAAGCCGTCTTCACTAATTTCATCAAACCGTTCCTTTCAAGAAATGACTCGTCAGGTAAAGGCAAGCGCTCAGGTTCAGTTTGGTAAAGTCTTGATAGCGTGTGGTGCTAACACCCTGCCAATGTCTTTGCTTCTGTCTTCTTTGCAGATCCTGGCTGTGTCTCATTTACCAGAGGGAGTAAAGATTGGCTCCTGGCAAACCTTGGCAGCTTCTCTGGCTTTGCAACCCTACAGGATTTGCAAGCCCTCAATCCCAACTTCTCCAGCGTAAGTAGCACCTGCAGTTGTAGTATTCTTCTCCCAAACTGAAATGGCTGACCTATGGATCTGCAATTACTGCTGTCTGATTTGCTATTGATCCCCCTCTGTAGGCCGAAGCGTTGTCAGTGCTCACTCCTACTCAGGTGGCACAGTTGACACTGAGTTCAGGGGCCTCGACCGACACAGACCAAATCGACCGTGTGTTTGAGCGACTTGAGGAGGGCAATGCTCTGGAAAATGTGGATGAATTCCTGACACAGCTGACAGCAAACGGAAAGGTAGGCTGCTCGTGACACTCAGGGAAGAAGCACAATCCTGGGCTATAAAACGAGCATAGTCTGTACTCAGATATGGATGTAAACCTTGAAATCGGTTGTGGTGGACACGGTCGTATCAAATATTTTGTTGCATGCTTTCCAGCGTCCTGTATGGTGTACTTGCTACGTGGAAACAGTGTGGTGTTGAAATCCTCTAATGTCATAATTTGACAGGTCCCTGACTTCCAACCTGTCGTGAGAGATCGTATAATGAATAGGACCTTCGCCATCATCAGTCCCCATTTCCAGAACTTCAAGGAAGATGACTGGTTTGCTTGGTTCCATCTGAAACTGGTCCTTGTCCTCCCAAGTTTCACTCCAATGATGCTCGAGAACGCAACCTCAAACATAAACTGCACAAACTACCATGTTGTGTGAGTAGCATTTCACCAACAAGCAAGATTCCATTGCACCAAAGTACAAAACGGTAATGAGGGACAGCGTAAGAATGTTTCTTTTCACCCTGTGCAGAGTGAGTGGGCTGGCCGGAGCTTTCCGCGCTATGCCGTTACATAGACGACAAGGAATCGCAGACGTTCTGCTGGGCTACTTGAGAAAATCTGCCGGTGTCATCAACAAACCGGGTAGGTCTGACAAAGGAAACTGCGTCGTGTGGTTGCTTGTGTAGGCTTGCCCATGGACTTATTTGTGAAAAAAAAAAAAAAGTTCTGAAATGGCAGTGAGAGGACAACTGGCACTTACGTATGCTAACATCCATTTACGTGCTTTAGTTTGCAGGCAGGAAATTGACAATGATGCAGAATGGCTTGAAGCAAACTTGGGTCCATTTTCCCTGTACACAACATACTCTGACCTCAACGTCTTCAACCTCTCTGTGGTAAGGCATGCATTCCACTGTCAATCTACCTTGAAAACAGCAGCACAATCTTTGCAACTTGGACAGTCTGTACACCGGGGTGATTTTTCCATGTCAAAGAGAAAAGCAATCCATATATTCTCTTTGTTTGTGTCATCAGGTGGCACTTGTGGACTCCCTGTCCCCAGACCAGAAGGCTGAGCTGATCCTGGATCCAGACAGCCACGCTTTGGAGGATGAGGCCATCATAAGGGAGGTGTTCACAAGCTTGACAAAGTCCCATGATAACGAGCAGCTCAATCAGTTTTTCCAGGCTTTTGCAAGCATCAGCGAGCAGGTGAGTGCTTAACATTTAAGCCTGCCATATTTTCCCAGAAAGCTGGCCGACAAACCGGCCGTGTAGAACTCACCGTGGGCTCAAAGAATTTTTGCAGAAGCTAAAAAGGGGCCCCGGTTTTTGACTCAAAGCGATACATTTCTGATATGCTTTGTGAATGAAGCGCTGCCAACGATGCCTCGAGTCATGCCTCTGATGCACTAAAGTACAAAGATGTGTCACCAAGCTTGCCCTCATTTCTACAAGGATTTCAGGAAGGTAAAATGTCCGCATGAACTAATACGGGAATCCTTTTATTTGCAGAGAAACATCACCATCATCAAAAATCAAGGTGTACGAGACACCATCTTGAACCTGACCTTGACAGCCCTTGCCGGTGAATTTGAAGACTTTGAGCCTAAAGACTTTGAGCTGTGGTTCCAGGTCTATTTGGCTCCCGTGATGGCGAGCCTCCAGCCTGGCAGCTTGGTGGTGATCCCCAGTAACATCAGCTGCGCATCCTACGAAGCTATGTAAGAGATATTTCAGAGGTCCACACTTAGACATTTTGGGTTTTCATGATGTCAAACTGTGGCTTCAGGCAAGTAACGATTACTTCTGTTTTCTGCCTTCAGACTCACTGGTCTTCTGCAAAGTTTGAAATCCCTGCCTCCGACCCTTTCACATGGCGTGAGCGCAAGCATACAGTCACTCAAGGAGACATTCGCACGTACGTGGCAAAATGCTCTGCTGACAAACTTTTTCACAAAAGCCGATTACCGCTGCCTTGATGATAGCTGTATTGATGCCATGCTTTCGTTTCAATTTTCCCTCAAACAGGTTGCACAGTTCCAGATTCCTTCGTGGTAAGTTCACTTCTATGGGTGTACTCCGTGGATTATACAATATTTGATCAAAATTGACAAGACACAAGTCTGGCACATTCATTTTGGTAGGGAGGCCACGCTAAGGTACTTTAAGTAGCTCATGCCACTAGACTAACATTTGCGCTTTACTTGTCTCCAGTGCAAAGAGACCCCGATTGATGGTAAGTCTGTAAAATACCAGAAGTTTCAACTTTGATGACACAATGACATTCTGAAGGTACAATGTCTGATACACCAATATTGTCTTTTCGCAGAGGCCCTCATCTGTGCTGCGGTCAACAGGTAGGTGAATTACTGTTTGGTCCGGGGCTGAGTTTGCGTGGCTAAAGTTGTTTTACACAGTCTAACTAAAGTTACAATGGTTTTCTTTTTGTTGTTTTCCTCAGTTCACAACTGGAACAAACCCTGTCTACTGGCAATTCCTCTGAAGCCCTGTGCAATTTTACCATCACTGAGCTTGCCTGTTCCTCGGTAAGATGGTTTGATGTAAGCTGTAAATCCCAGAGAAAGATTTAGCTTGAGCTACACTGTTGTCCAGAGACAAATCTCCCTGAGCTCTGAGAGAGTCTTTGCTTTATTTTTTTTCTGTCAACATTTTCTCCTAAGGCTACACACCTCACATCCAGCAACCTGGTCACACTGATGAAATGCTCACTGCAAAGCCAAAGGACATACCCGGTAGAGGTCTGGAAGCTTCTCTTCCAAAAAGCTTCTACTGCACTAGACCAGGCTCTCCAGACCTTCGCCACCATGGTAACTCCAATGCCACAATTTCACAAAACTGGTGTTTCCTTGCGTGAATTCTGTGTCCAACCAAAAGTCATTTTCCAACTGCAGGCCCCCAACAACAGCAATCCAGCCATGTCACCTGCTCTTGAGGCTCTTGGGGAGCTGAGAATTGCAAACTTCAGCCAGGCACAACTGCAGAGTGATGCCTTTGTCAGATTCTGGTTCCAGACAGAGCTTGGTCCGTTTCTGGCCTCTGCATCCCCCAACTTCCTATTCTGCCTTAGCTCCAAGAACTTCAGCTGCCATACGTACCAGACAGTGTAAGTAAATATTGATAGTTTGCTCCAAAGTGAACAAGATTGCAGAGGGAGCGGCAGTTTTCTAGTTGCTTAGACGTTTAAAAGCTTTCTCTCAAATTTTAGCATCCAGGCATTCAGCAGCCGAAGCGTATCCATGGACAGAGAAACACAACAAGCCGTCTTCACTAATTTCATCAAACCGTTCCTTTCAAGAAATGACTCGTCAGGTAAAGGCAAGCGCTCAGGTTCAGTTTGGTAAAGTCTTGATAGCGTGTGGTGCTAACACCCTGCCAATGTCTTTGCTTCTGTCTTCTTTGCAGATCCTGGCTGTGTCTCATTTACCAGAGGGAGTAAAGATTGGCTCCTGGCAAACCTTGGCAGCTTCTCTGGCTTTGCAACCCTACAGGATTTGCAAGCCCTCAATCCCAACTTCTCCAGCGTAAGTAGCACCTGCAGTTGTAGTATTCTTCTCCCAAACTGAAATGGCTGACCTATGGATCTGCAATTACTGCTGTCTGATTTGCTATTGATCCCCCTCTGTAGGCCGAAGCGTTGTCAGTGCTCACTCCTACTCAGGTGGCACAGTTGACACTGAGTTCAGGGGCCTCGACCGACACAGACCAAATCGACCGTGTGTTTGAGCGACTTGAGGAGGGCAATGCTCTGGAAAATGTGGATGAATTCCTGACACAGCTGACAGCAAACGGAAAGGTAGGCTGCTCGTGACACTCAGGGAAGAAGCACAATCCTGGGCTATAAAACGAGCATAGTCTGTACTCAGATATGGATGTAAACCTTGAAATCGGTTGTGGTGGACACGGTCGTATCAAATATTTTGTTGCATGCTTTCCAGCGTCCTGTATGGTGTACTTGCTACGTGGAAACAGTGTGGTGTTGAAATCCTCTAATGTCATAATTTGACAGGTCCCTGACTTCCAACCTGTCGTGAGAGATCGTATAATGAATAGGACCTTCGCCATCATCAGTCCCCATTTCCAGAACTTCAAGGAAGATGACTGGTTTGCTTGGTTCCATCTGAAACTGGTCCTTGTCCTCCCAAGTTTCACTCCAATGATGCTCGAGAACGCAACCTCAAACATAAACTGCACAAACTACCATGTTGTGTGAGTAGCATTTCACCAACAAGCAAGATTCCATTGCACCAAAGTACAAAACGGTAATGAGGGACAGCGTAAGAATGTTTCTTTTCACCCTGTGCAGAGTGAGTGGGCTGGCCGGAGCTTTCCGCGCTATGCCGTTACATAGACGACAAGGAATCGCAGACGTTCTGCTGGGCTACTTGAGAAAATCTGCCGGTGTCATCAACAAACCGGGTAGGTCTGACAAAGGAAACTGCGTCGTGTGGTTGCTTGTGTAGGCTTGCCCATGGACTTATTTGTGAAAAAAAAAAAAAAGTTCTGAAATGGCAGTGAGAGGACAACTGGCACTTACGTATGCTAACATCCATTTACGTGCTTTAGTTTGCAGGCAGGAAATTGACAATGATGCAGAATGGCTTGAAGCAAACTTGGGTCCATTTTCCCTGTACACAACATACTCTGACCTCAACGTCTTCAACCTCTCTGTGGTAAGGCATGCATTCCACTGTCAATCTACCTTGAAAACAGCAGCACAATCTTTGCAACTTGGACAGTCTGTACACCGGGGTGATTTTTCCATGTCAAAGAGAAAAGCAATCCATATATTCTCTTTGTTTGTGTCATCAGGTGGCACTTGTGGACTCCCTGTCCCCAGACCAGAAGGCTGAGCTGATCCTGGATCCAGACAGCCACGCTTTGGAGGATGAGGCCATCATAAGGGAGGTGTTCACAAGCTTGACAAAGTCCCATGATAACGAGCAGCTCAATCAGTTTTTCCAGGCTTTTGCAAGCATCAGCGAGCAGGTGAGTGCTTAACATTTAAGCCTGCCATATTTTCCCAGAAAGCTGGCCGACAAACCGGCCGTGTAGAACTCACCGTGGGCTCAAAGAATTTTTGCAGAAGCTAAAAAGGGGCCCCGGTTTTTGACTCAAAGCGATACATTTCTGATATGCTTTGTGAATGAAGCGCTGCCAACGATGCCTCGAGTCATGCCTCTGATGCACTAAAGTACAAAGATGTGTCACCAAGCTTGCCCTCATTTCTACAAGGATTTCAGGAAGGTAAAATGTCCGCATGAACTAATACGGGAATCCTTTTATTTGCAGAGAAACATCACCATCATCAAAAATCAAGGTGTACGAGACACCATCTTGAACCTGACCTTGACAGCCCTTGCCGGTGAATTTGAAGACTTTGAGCCTAAAGACTTTGAGCTGTGGTTCCAGGTCTATTTGGCTCCCGTGATGGCGAGCCTCCAGCCTGGCAGCTTGGTGGTGATCCCCAGTAACATCAGCTGCGCATCCTACGAAGCTATGTAAGAGATATTTCAGAGGTCCACACTTAGACATTTTGGGTTTTCATGATGTCAAACTGTGGCTTCAGGCAAGTAACGATTACTTCTGTTTTCTGCCTTCAGACTCACTGGTCTTCTGCAAAGTTTGAAATCCCTGCCTCCGACCCTTTCACATGGCGTGAGCGCAAGCATACAGTCACTCAAGGAGACATTCGCACGTACGTGGCAAAATGCTCTGCTGACAAACTTTTTCACAAAAGCCGATTACCGCTGCCTTGATGATAGCTGTATTGATGCCATGCTTTCGTTTCAATTTTCCCTCAAACAGGTTGCACAGTTCCAGATTCCTTCGTGGTAAGTTCACTTCTATGGGTGTACTCCGTGGATTATACAATATTTGATCAAAATTGACAAGACACAAGTCTGGCACATTCATTTTGGTAGGGAGGCCACGCTAAGGTACTTTAAGTAGCTCATGCCACTAGACTAACATTTGCGCTTTACTTGTCTCCAGTGCAAAGAGACCCCGATTGATGGTAAGTCTGTAAAATACCAGAAGTTTCAACTTTGATGACACAATGACATTCTGAAGGTACAATGTCTGATACACCAATATTGTCTTTTCGCAGAGGCCCTCATCTGTGCTGCGGTCAACAGGTAGGTGAATTACTGTTTGGTCCGGGGCTGAGTTTGCGTGGCTAAAGTTGTTTTACACAGTCTAACTAAAGTTACAATGGTTTTCTTTTTGTTGTTTTCCTCAGTTCACAACTGGAACAAACCCTGTCTACTGGCAATTCCTCTGAAGCCCTGTGCAATTTTACCATCACTGAGCTTGCCTGTTCCTCGGTAAGATGGTTTGATGTAAGCTGTAAATCCCAGAGAAAGATTTAGCTTGAGCTACACTGTTGTCCAGAGACAAATCTCCCTGAGCTCTGAGAGAGTCTTTGCTTTATTTTTTTTCTGTCAACATTTTCTCCTAAGGCTACACACCTCACATCCAGCAACCTGGTCACACTGATGAAATGCTCACTGCAAAGCCAAAGGACATACCCGGTAGAGGTCTGGAAGCTTCTCTTCCAAAAAGCTTCTACTGCACTAGACCAGGCTCTCCAGACCTTCGCCACCATGGTAACTCCAATGCCACAATTTCACAAAACTGGTGTTTCCTTGCGTGAATTCTGTGTCCAACCAAAAGTCATTTTCCAACTGCAGGCCCCCAACAACAGCAATCCAGCCATGTCACCTGCTCTTGAGGCTCTTGGGGAGCTGAGAATTGCAAACTTCAGCCAGGCACAACTGCAGAGTGATGCCTTTGTCAGATTCTGGTTCCAGACAGAGCTTGGTCCGTTTCTGGCCTCTGCATCCCCCAACTTCCTATTCTGCCTTAGCTCCAAGAACTTCAGCTGCCATACGTACCAGACAGTGTAAGTAAATATTGGATAGTTTGCTCCAAAGTGAACAAGATTGCAGAGGGAGCGGCAGTTTTCTAGTTGCTTAGACGTTTAAAAGCTTTCTCTCAAATTTTAGCATCCAGGCATTCAGCAGCCGAAGCGTATCCATGGACAGAGAAACACAACAAGCCGTCTTCACTAATTTCATCAAACCGTTCCTTTCAAGAAATGACTCGTCAGGTAAAGGCAAGCGCTCAGGTTCAGTTTGGTAAAGTCTTGATAGCGTGTGGTGCTAACACCCTGCCAATGTCTTTGCTTCTGTCTTCTTTGCAGATCCTGGCTGTGTCTCATTTACCAGAGGGAGTAAAGATTGGCTCCTGGCAAACCTTGGCAGCTTCTCTGGCTTTGCAACCCTACAGGATTTGCAAGCCCTCAATCCCAACTTCTCCAGCGTAAGTAGCACCTGCAGTTGTAGTATTCTTCTCCCAAACTGAAATGGCTGACCTATGGATCTGCAATTACTGCTGTCTGATTTGCTATTGATCCCCCTCTGTAGGCCGAAGCGTTGTCAGTGCTCACTCCTACTCAGGTGGCACAGTTGACACTGAGTTCAGGGGCCTCGACCGACACAGACCAAATCGACCGTGTGTTTGAGCGACTTGAGGAGGGCAATGCTCTGGAAAATGTGGATGAATTCCTGACACAGCTGACAGCAAACGGAAAGGTAGGCTGCTCGTGACACTCAGGGAAGAAGCACAATCCTGGGCTATAAAACGAGCATAGTCTGTACTCAGATATGGATGTAAACCTTGAAATCGGTTGTGGTGGACACGGTCGTATCAAATATTTTGTTGCATGCTTTCCAGCGTCCTGTATGGTGTACTTGCTACGTGGAAACAGTGTGGTGTTGAAATCCTCTAATGTCATAATTTGACAGGTCCCTGACTTCCAACCTGTCGTGAGAGATCGTATAATGAATAGGACCTTCGCCATCATCAGTCCCCATTTCCAGAACTTCAAGGAAGATGACTGGTTTGCTTGGTTCCATCTGAAACTGGTCCTTGTCCTCCCAAGTTTCACTCCAATGATGCTCGAGAACGCAACCTCAAACATAAACTGCACAAACTACCATGTTGTGTGAGTAGCATTTCACCAACAAGCAAGATTCCATTGCACCAAAGTACAAAACGGTAATGAGGGACAGCGTAAGAATGTTTCTTTTCACCCTGTGCAGAGTGAGTGGGCTGGCCGGAGCTTTCCGCGCTATGCCGTTACATAGACGACAAGGAATCGCAGACGTTCTGCTGGGCTACTTGAGAAAATCTGCCGGTGTCATCAACAAACCGGGTAGGTCTGACAAAGGAAACTGCGTCGTGTGGTTGCTTGTGTAGGCTTGCCCATGGACTTATTTGTGAAAAAAAAAAAAAAGTTCTGAAATGGCAGTGAGAGGACAACTGGCACTTACGTATGCTAACATCCATTTACGTGCTTTAGTTTGCAGGCAGGAAATTGACAATGATGCAGAATGGCTTGAAGCAAACTTGGGTCCATTTTCCCTGTACACAACATACTCTGACCTCAACGTCTTCAACCTCTCTGTGGTAAGGCATGCATTCCACTGTCAATCTACCTTGAAAACAGCAGCACAATCTTTGCAACTTGGACAGTCTGTACACCGGGGTGATTTTTCCATGTCAAAGAGAAAAGCAATCCATATATTCTCTTTGTTTGTGTCATCAGGTGGCACTTGTGGACTCCCTGTCCCCAGACCAGAAGGCTGAGCTGATCCTGGATCCAGACAGCCACGCTTTGGAGGATGAGGCCATCATAAGGGAGGTGTTCACAAGCTTGACAAAGTCCCATGATAACGAGCAGCTCAATCAGTTTTTCCAGGCTTTTGCAAGCATCAGCGAGCAGGTGAGTGCTTAACATTTAAGCCTGCCATATTTTCCCAGAAAGCTGGCCGACAAACCGGCCGTGTAGAACTCACCGTGGGCTCAAAGAATTTTTGCAGAAGCTAAAAAGGGGCCCCGGTTTTTGACTCAAAGCGATACATTTCTGATATGCTTTGTGAATGAAGCGCTGCCAACGATGCCTCGAGTCATGCCTCTGATGCACTAAAGTACAAAGATGTGTCACCAAGCTTGCCCTCATTTCTACAAGGATTTCAGGAAGGTAAAATGTCCGCATGAACTAATACGGGAATCCTTTTATTTGCAGAGAAACATCACCATCATCAAAAATCAAGGTGTACGAGACACCATCTTGAACCTGACCTTGACAGCCCTTGCCGGTGAATTTGAAGACTTTGAGCCTAAAGACTTTGAGCTGTGGTTCCAGGTCTATTTGGCTCCCGTGATGGCGAGCCTCCAGCCTGGCAGCTTGGTGGTGATCCCCAGTAACATCAGCTGCGCATCCTACGAAGCTATGTAAGAGATATTTCAGAGGTCCACACTTAGACATTTTGGGTTTTCATGATGTCAAACTGTGGCTTCAGGCAAGTAACGATTACTTCTGTTTTCTGCCTTCAGACTCACTGGTCTTCTGCAAAGTTTGAAATCCCTGCCTCCGACCCTTTCACATGGCGTGAGCGCAAGCATACAGTCACTCAAGGAGACATTCGCACGTACGTGGCAAAATGCTCTGCTGACAAACTTTTTCACAAAAGCCGATTACCGCTGCCTTGATGATAGCTGTATTGATGCCATGCTTTCGTTTCAATTTTCCCTCAAACAGGTTGCACAGTTCCAGATTCCTTCGTGGTAAGTTCACTTCTATGGGTGTACTCCGTGGATTATACAATATTTGATCAAAATTGACAAGACACAAGTCTGGCACATTCATTTTGGTAGGGAGGCCACGCTAAGGTACTTTAAGTAGCTCATGCCACTAGACTAACATTTGCGCTTTACTTGTCTCCAGTGCAAAGAGACCCCGATTGATGGTAAGTCTGTAAAATACCAGAAGTTTCAACTTTGATGACACAATGACATTCTGAAGGTACAATGTCTGATACACCAATATTGTCTTTTCGCAGAGGCCCTCATCTGTGCTGCGGTCAACAGGTAGGTGAATTACTGTTTGGTCCGGGGCTGAGTTTGCGTGGCTAAAGTTGTTTTACACAGTCTAACTAAAGTTACAATGGTTTTCTTTTTGTTGTTTTCCTCAGTTCACAACTGGAACAAACCCTGTCTACTGGCAATTCCTCTGAAGCCCTGTGCAATTTTACCATCACTGAGCTTGCCTGTTCCTCGGTAAGATGGTTTGATGTAAGCTGTAAATCCCAGAGAAAGATTTAGCTTGAGCTACACTGTTGTCCAGAGACAAATCTCCCTGAGCTCTGAGAGAGTCTTTGCTTTATTTTTTTTCTGTCAACATTTTCTCCTAAGGCTACACACCTCACATCCAGCAACCTGGTCACACTGATGAAATGCTCACTGCAAAGCCAAAGGACATACCCGGTAGAGGTCTGGAAGCTTCTCTTCCAAAAAGCTTCTACTGCACTAGACCAGGCTCTCCAGACCTTCGCCACCATGGTAACTCCAATGCCACAATTTCACAAAACTGGTGTTTCCTTGCGTGAATTCTGTGTCCAACCAAAAGTCATTTTCCAACTGCAGGCCCCCAACAACAGCAATCCAGCCATGTCACCTGCTCTTGAGGCTCTTGGGGAGCTGAGAATTGCAAACTTCAGCCAGGCACAACTGCAGAGTGATGCCTTTGTCAGATTCTGGTTCCAGACAGAGCTTGGTCCGTTTCTGGCCTCTGCATCCCCCAACTTCCTATTCTGCCTTAGCTCCAAGAACTTCAGCTGCCATACGTACCAGACAGTGTAAGTAAATATTGGATAGTTTGCTCCAAAGTGAACAAGATTGCAGAGGGAGCGGCAGTTTTCTAGTTGCTTAGACGTTTAAAAGCTTTCTCTCAAATTTTAGCATCCAGGCATTCAGCAGCCGAAGCGTATCCATGGACAGAGAAACACAACAAGCCGTCTTCACTAATTTCATCAAACCGTTCCTTTCAAGAAATGACTCGTCAGGTAAAGGCAAGCGCTCAGGTTCAGTTTGGTAAAGTCTTGATAGCGTGTGGTGCTAACACCCTGCCAATGTCTTTGCTTCTGTCTTCTTTGCAGATCCTGGCTGTGTCATTTACCAGAGGGAGTAAAGATTGGCTCCTGGCAAACCTTGGCAGCTTCTCGGCTTTGCAACCCTACAGGATTTGCAAGCCCTCAATCCCAACTTCTCCAGCGTAAGTAGCTTGATAGCGTGTGGTGCTAACACCCGCCAATGTCTTTGCTTCGTCTTCTTTGCAGATCCTGGCTGTGTCTCATTTACCAGAGGGAGTAAAGATTGGCTCCTGGCAAACCTTGGCAGCTTCTCTGGCTTTGCAACCTACAGGATTTGCAAGCCCTCAATCCCAACTTCTCCAGCGTAAGTAGCACCTGCAGTTGTAGTATTTCTCCCAAACTGAAATGGCTGACCTATGGATCTGCAATTACTGCTGTCTGATTTGCTATTGATCCCCCTCTGTAGGCCGAAGCGTTGTCAGTGCTCATCCTACTCAGGTGGCACAGTTGACACTGAGTTCAGGGCCTCGACCGACACAGACCAAATCGACCGTGTTTGAGCGACTTGAGGAGGGCAATGCTATGGAAAATGTGGATGAATTCCTGACAGCTGACAGCAAACGGAAAGGTAGGCTGCTCGTGACACTCAGGGAAGAAGCACAATCCTGGGCTATAAA